CAAACCAATGCCTCTACCACATGAAAAAGGTTATGGGGCTACCTTTACATTTACCTACCTACCTAAGGCTTACATTACAATTTACAAAAACAGGCCTCTCTACACTTAAGTTATAGATGAAAAGACAATTGTGCACAACTTAACACAACACAAAAATACACAACATGAAGACCATTACCAGTACAATATGCCAGGTTTTGCACAGAAGACAAAAATAGCACAATGTTTTGCTGTGAGGTGTTGCCATTCTATTACATGTAATTATGCATGAGTGCCGAGAAAACAACTAAATTAGTCTACAAAACTGAACATGTATTTTGAATGAGCCCGTGTGATTGGCCCTTTCCAGCTGGCCCTTTCCAAAAATATACGTCCTCTTTTATGCATTTTCTTTAGTGTTCAACATGTACCTCTTTGTCTTGTTCTTCCTTGGGCTTGGACACTGCATCAGCTTTCTCCTTAGCGTCTTTTTCTGGACAAACAAAAAAACAACCCCACAGTGAATTTTACATCATGTAATGTTGATATTTAAACATTCCTTGACAAAGACTAGACTCGAAAATTTGAGAATTTTTTGTGTTGGAAATTACAGCCTAAACTTGCTTCATAATGCATGCCAGAAAACAGTTACTAGTACTCAAGCAGCTGAGTATGATTTTGCTTCATAATGACTTCTACCAACACAGATGAACTTTCAAGATAATCTTTATAAGATAAAACAAAGACATGTTTACCTTTACACTTAGGACAGACGTAGTCTTCACTGTTCTTTTCCATCCGTATGCCCTCCTTCTTAGTGATGCCCACACAGTCCCCATGGTACCACTCCTCACAACGGTCACAGCAGATCATGAATCTGGAGAGGCACAAGTATGCAAATTAGCCTTGCAAATATTCAGATAACCTTGAGTTAAAAGACTCTTTCTACACAACTAAGTCTTTTATATTCAGCCAATGTTTTGGTGACCGTCTGTCACCTTCCTCTGGGCAATTCACATTGCATGTTGCACTGCAGCACAGGTGTCGCTGCTACAGATGCATTTCCCAAACGTACAATATTTACATATCTACATATATGCGTGATTACAGGGAACAGTATCTACAATGGAATAACGTCCCAAACGTACAGGAGTTGGATATATGTAAAACTGTACACCTTGCAAATATACAGATGAGCCTTGCACTAAGTCATGGTTTAGTCTGGGAAATAGGAAAATTAGCAACAGACAACAGGTTAAGAATAGATAGGGAAAAGTTGTACATATTACAGAATCTCTAGGGCTTAGTTGGGCCTGAACAGTGGAAGGCCTGCTTAAGTGCGGTATAGTCAGGTTACCTTTTTCCGTGAGGTTTTCTGCAGATACAGTAGAGCTTGTCTGGGTCCTCATCCTCCCAGTCACTGTCATTGGGGTCGTCTGAGTAGGTCATCCCAGAGTCATCACTTTCTGCACCCGACTCATCGCCTAAAACAACACAGTAAAAGATGTGGAAATGTTAAAATGGGCCATCTAGCCATCTGAGGAATTAAATGTAGAAACTAGGTGCAGTAATATAGAAAGATAACATTTGCAAAGTTAATGCATAATGTTTACCTTCACATATGGTCTGCTCTGTTAATTCTTACTCAAACACATTCACATACAATGTATATGGTCACATGAGTCTAAATCCCTCCTACTATAAAATTGCAACATTATATAACCCAGCACCAGTTACCATGGTGACAGACGGTCTGGTTCAGGTCATTGACCAGGTCACCGGTCAGTGTTTGGAACGGAAGAAGAAACAGAGCAAAACTATGTTTTCCTTCGGCAAACATAATAACAGAATGGGCGTCACCAATACTAATGTAATGCAAATTCAGGGCATCAAAATTGGTACAGTCCTAATCAAGAACAGCCAATGAGAACAAAGATAACATCCTCACCTGGGTGGTCTTTATCTGACTTTTCAGACTTGACAGAATCCTTCCTCTGTCTTTCCTTCTCCTTGGCTACATGTACTTTCTTCGTTTCCTCCTTGTCTAGTGACTTCCTTCTGTCCTCCTTTGTACTAGTAGAAGGCTTCTCCACTTTAACAACTTTTACATCCTTAGGTTTTTGCCCTTCTTTGTTCTGAGTAGTCTCTTCTTCGCTTCCTCCATCTTTCTTTCCGTGAGCTTTGACCTCATCTTCCTTTACCGTTGGCGCGGCGTTGTCAGGTGTGAAGAGGATGGGTTCTTCCACCTCGACAATTTGGACCGACGATTTTCTTCGCTTTCTTTCCGGTTTCTTCTTCTGTTGTCTCGCGATGACTTCTTGGGCCTTTTCTTTGTGCATTTCTTCCATGAGTCTTTTCAGCGGAAGGTCTTCTTCTTCTGATTCAGAAACTTCCGACTTTCGTTTGGCCTTTTTAGCCGAGGGCGGAGTCTCTTTTGGGGATTTCATAGGCGTAACTTTTTTAGTTGTTGCTGATCGTTTGGGCGTCTTTTCTTGTTGTTTCTTAGCAGGAGTAGTCTTCTTTTTTCCTTCTTTCTCCCCATCTTTCTCTTCTTCTGCCTCTCCTTTCATTTCTTCACTCGATTCTTGTTCTTTTTTCTCCTCGTCGGCTTTCTTTGCTCCTTTCTTCCTCGTCCCTCTTTTCGGAGTGGGAGTTTTAGGCTCCGAGTCTTCCTTGGAGTCAGGTTGGAGTTCTGGTGCTTCTTGTTCATTACTGCTGCTTGGGATATCGTCCTCATCTGCGGATTTTCCACCCTTCCGTTTTGCAGCACGCTTTTCAGCGACTGGTTGGGCGTAATCGTGGTCTAACATTCGCACGCGATCTAACTCCACTCTTTCTGCTTCTTCTTTTTCCTTGACTTGGATTCTTGTAGACTTTCTGGTGTTATTTGGGCTGGAGTCTGTTTCTTCCTTTCCTTCATCACCTTCCTTAGATACAGCTGTTGTTTCTACAGGTGTTTCTGGCTCCTGCAATGCAGCTGTTTTCTGCAAGGGGGCATCATTTGACTTCTCCACTTCTTTAACTGGGGTCTCCTTGGTCAAGCTTGGGGTAGTCTGGGTTTTGCTAGGGGTAACCTGGGTTGTGCTTTGGGCAACCTGGGTTTTTGTAGCAACTTGTGGGCTTTCATGCAACACATCCTGGGTCGGTTGGGGTGTGATTGGGGTTTCTTGACTTGTTTCTGCTGCCTTCTGAGGCCTACTTGGGGTTTCCAGGGATACCTCTTCAGACTTTTCAGCAGAAGTATCTGGGGGAGGGACTTCAGCTTTCTTGGATACAGAAGGTGATTCTTTAGGTGTTGGAGCTATCTCCTTGGCAGGCGGCAGTGGTTTCTTTACAACTGTTGCGCTGGCTGCTTTCTGCAGGAGCGCCGCGGCTCTTTTAGGGGTTATCGTGGTCTTCTTGGCGGGAGGTATTTTCGCTGCAGCCTGTCGTCTGGTTCTAGGTGGCGAGGGAAAACTTTCCTCAACGGTTGTCGCTGTGTCTGTTCCCGTGGATGCCGGTTCAGATTGCGCCTTTAGAGCGGAAGCGCGAGTTCTTCTTGCCGTGGGGGGCGTTTTCTGAACTTGTGGAGACGCCTTTGCCGCTCTTCCTCTCGTTCTTGGCGAAGGCGTAGCGCTGTCACCGCTGTCGTCTTTCCGCTGGATTCGCGAGCTTCTCCGAAGACTTCGAGGCTCCACGTCTTTCTTCTGCGCCGTATCCCCTTGCGCTTTCGTCTCGTTTTCCGTTACAGTTGTTGGAGCGATTCCCGCAACTCTCGGCGAGCGCCGCGTTGGCATGGGCTCCATTTTGTTCTCCGTTTGCGACGAGCTACCGGCGTCGTTTAAATCTTTGAGGAATGTGTCCGGATTAATGTCTGTGGTAATCTCCGGATTTACAAGGCTCAGTCCGTCACTGGGATTATCAAAAACTCCAATATCAAGTTTAAAGTTGTCAACAGAGGTGGAGGTTAACATAGGATCATTGTCTCGGAGCATAGAGTTGATGCTCTCTTCAATAGAAGGGTCCAGAGTGCTGTCCACATATTGGGCGGTTGAAGAATTGGTCTCGTTGAGGAATTTTTCGACTTGGTCGGCGGAGAGCTGTTGCGGACCACCGCAGAGCTCCGAGAAGAGGTTTCGACCGGACGGGTCGTCCTGAGCTGACTGTAGTACCTGTGCAGGGAGACAGGGGGAGCACCTGTGACACCTGCTACACATGAAAATACAGTACACGTTGTACACAGTACTGGTACTGTACGGAAATACTTGATTAGGTACAAGTCCAAAATAGTAATCACTGAGTACTGGGTACTGTGTACGGGTATAAAGTTACACAAACTGCACTTGTATTTTTGACCCAAATGTGTAAATACTAGAGCTGTGTACCGGTAGGTGTGTACTGGTTCTGTACTGGAAAAACTGATTAAGTACTGGTCCAAATACCTAATTCCACTGTACCAGTACTGTACCTAAATAATTTCACACTAATCATATGCCTATTTGTGACGTAAAATGTGTAAATAGCTGGTCCCTCCATGTTTCCAGAGACAGGACAGTGTGTTTGTGTTACAAACTGACAGTGTTAACTACCCTGAAAGATCTGTTGTAGATTAGTTACGCTCCCTCTAGATGTCAAGTTTGCAGGTGAACTTGGGAGTGGGTTGACAGCACATGGGTGGGGGATTGGCAGGCAGAATGACAGGAAGGCAGCACGTCAGACACAGGAAATGGGGTGTGCTTAAATAAAAACCCAAAATTCTTCCTGGAATCTCCTATATGTTTCTTGTGGTGTTACGCACTTGCTTTGCCCCCCTTCCACTATACAGTAAATTGCCATAAAAAAACAACCATGATAATCAAATTGACCCTACAACTAAAAAACATTTAGCACACTGAAGTAGCCAATTCTCTATTACTTACAGGTTAGGCAGCAGGGAGAAGGTTATGGTTGATATTGTAGTATTTAAGGACTGAAGTTGCAAGGGGCAAAACAAGTGGGCAAAATAAGCCATAAAGGAAGAAAGTTCAATGAAAAAGTCTGCAGTTTTAAGCATGATGATTTGAAGTTATTTGTAAGTTCATATTGCTGTATGCTGTCTATTCTAACAATAAAGATGTAATTTATGGACCAGCAAACGGTGACAGATAAAGAAAAACAGAATAGAAGAAAACAACCTAAAAAAAATCCCCACACCCAAGAAACTGGACTCACCTCGCTAAACAAGGAGTCTGCTGTGGGGTAGGGGAGGGGGGAGGGGGACTGGGAAGGGTCACAGATATAGGAGATGGCTGTGTGGGGGAGGGGGGCAGATGACGAGGTACGGGGATCCATTGCTGAACAGTTTCTGGGACCCCCTGATCTAGCTGTGACTGTGCTGCCCTGTAAGGGGTCAAATGAACAAGCATGCCTTCCTAGCTAGTACATATATGGTTTTATCATTATGAAAAAGTTGTAAAACGTAAAAGTTACTAAAACACTGCACTGCAAAATCATTACAGACTAGACAAAAAATCTAACATGGAATAATATTCCTTATTCAAAACCTCACCCATAAGTATCAATACTGTAAAAAAATTAGTATGGCCAAAAGCAAACACTACAACAGTACAAGGGAATAGTCTACAAGTTACACCTCAAAAATGTTTTAGAAAATGCGCATTGTACTAAGACATTATGTCTAAGCTAGCTACTTCTTGGTTAATGCTTCAGTTAATAACCTTGCCATTCCATATGTAAGTATAAGGGCTAAGGGGTCTACGTGAGGGAAAAGGAGGGTTAAGACTAGACCTTGAGATCATCTACACCAAAATATTAGCCAGTTCATGCACATGCACAGTAGAAACCATGAACCAGCTTACTAATTTTGCAAGTTAGATTTGTAAGCAGCATCTTTTTTCGTGATTTTATGTTGAGCTATTTACATATTAACAACAAACAAAAGAAGTCATCGCAAAGCAAGTTTAAACTGTAACTTCCAACACAAGATATTGGACTTCCCCAAATTTTCAACTGTACAACTCGAGTCTTTTTTAAGGAATATACAATCCACCTCGTGATGTCACAGAAGTAGTGGATTGTTCATTCCTTGACAAAGACTGGAGTTGTACAGTCAAAAATTTCTTGTGTTAGGAACTACAGTTTAAACTTTCTTCATTACAAGCAAAAGAAGTATACTGAAATGACAAAAAACTTACGTCTCCAAAACCCCCCTCAGATAGTGGGTCGGTCCATTCAACACTTGTGGAGGAGGTGAGGAAATCTGGGACTAGGTTCTGGCTGGAAGCTGGTGATGTGAATGTTGTCGCCTGCGAATCTGCTGCTACTGTTACTGCAGTCCCAACCACTTCCCTGGTAGAGGGCTCACTCTGATCACACATTGTAATCTCCTACTGCAAAGCTCTGGATTGTGCAATGATAACATTAATTATGAATACATTGTATAATTTACAATTATCATTGATAGAGAAATCGCTAACAGTAACACTAAGGAAATGTAACTTTTGTAAGTTAAAATTGTCTGTAAAGACAAACTTAGAAAAAGGCTTGGTAAAATTCTTGGTAAACACATACACATTTACAATAAGATTTAATTGCTTAAACTTTAGCATGCTAAGGTAGCCATTCATTGGAATCAAACTTGTAAATTGGCTATGGAGTTTGGTAGCAGAGAACATTGCATTATCTGAAACAATCTTATGCAGTTGGAGTAACAGGAAAGAAACTAATAAACAATGATTCTTCAGTTTATATGCAGCAAGCAAGGACTCAAACTGCCACCTGAAACCATGCAAAATCATGCAAGAAATAACATGCAAAGATTTTTTTCTGTTCAGTTAGGAAAAAAGACAGGCAGAGAAAAAGCTGATGTACCTTTTCCACATCCCCCGGCTTCATCATCACTTAAAGCAACCAATCAGAGCACAAGGAGAACTGACCAATCACAGAAGATGAAGTAGAAGCAGCCAATCACAGCCGGGTAAGAATTGGCCAATCACTGACCAAGGAGCACTGGCCAATCACAGAAGATGGAGAATGTGGGTCCAGCCAAACACAGACCTGAGATTATTGGCCAATCAAAGAGCAATGAGAGGATGGCCAATCATGGACCATAGAAAGAAAGGCAAGAGGAAGCAAAGTGAATTTTATTGATGAATCTCAATCTTAAATAAAGCCATGGAGTTTATGATTTTTAGCTCCATGTTAAAACAAAGCAGAGAAGAGACATCTAACATATTGGATAGAACTATGTACCTAAACTAAAAGTAGTAATTATAGGTACAGGTCAAGGTACACAGGTTTAGGTACACGTCCGTGCCTGTACCTATACCTGAACAATTTGACAAACTTGCAATTTACAAAATGTACAAAACATTCAGGTAGTGAAAATGCAACAAATGCACCGAGTTTGTTTACATCTGGCTATACTGTATTTTATCAGTACCACCTGAAAATATGGTTGGTGGTTGTTTTGCCAAGTGTTTGTAAATGCAAAATATCATCATAAAATTATGATGCAAAATATTATCCAATTGAAATTATTACACCTATACACAACTGTGGTTCAGAGTGCTTCTTAGTGTCAATAACACAAAGGTTTCACCATTTCAACAGTTTCAATTTTGTTGCCAAGATCTTACGTTTTGTACCTTTAATTCGAGAAAATCCTACATGTGTTTTTGAGGCCCACGCCTGGCCTCATGCTGGATTTGACCTACAAACATGTCTATCATTTATCACTGCAAAACAGGGCCTCGGTAAATACAAAACTACGGCGATCTACCAAACACAGAAACCGCGTACAATCGAACAACATTACGAAGGAGAGATTGAAAGGTTTCGGAGCTTAGAGACAGACTTTGAAAGAGAAATTCGGCCGTATAAAATCAGAAGTGATATGACCATGGTGCATGCATGGCACCCCACCCCCAAGCAAAAAGACGTGGCGTGCCTAGAATCGAAAACACCGAGAGATCGCCAATAAAAAACACACAAACCAGGCTAAAGACAGCAGTGATGTGCAAAGTTTAGGAATCATAAGTACCTTGGCTCCAAAATGCACGAAGAAATCCGATCAAAATGTCCCGATTCGGTCGCGAAAACGGATGTTTTCTGTAAGGAATGAGAAAGAACGTTCCATCTACCGTCTTTGGACGGCCATGTTTACCTGGTCACGTGGTTCTGTTCCACACGTGACCATATAAGGAAGCAGAAACGCTTGCAGCAGCGACACCTACCGGATTACATTGTACTAACAGCTAGCAATACAAAACTATGGAAATTCCAATAATATGTGCGTTTTGTCCTTTTTCATATCGATATATTATGCAATAATGTATGTCACCTTCATATAGGCCTATATCAATAATATTTGTATGTTTTCTCTTTCTTTTTTTAATAAAATAACAAGAAACAACTGTTTTGAATTCCCTTTCCAAAGGCTTTGATGCTAAATGTAAAATCAAGGACCTTGGTAAAATACAGAACCTGGATAGCAAATTCCCTGTTTGTCGGTAACCCCACCAATATAAAGACGAAAAAAGTATTTGAGTGCCTAAAAAAGTTTTAAAAGTGCTCAAAAGAGAATAATGTTTTCGTTTTAAAAAGTCAACAAAAGTATTAGGTTCTACCGAGATTTGAACTCGGATCGCTGGATTCAGAGTCCAGAGTGCTAACCATTACACCATAGAACCTCTTCCTGTCTTACGCAATCAATTTAGACGTCTCCAATTCAATTCTACTCAAAGCGTTGACATAAGAGCGCATGTATTACAGGGATGTGCATTGTACCAATTTTGCACTTTGGAAGTACGATAAATGAATGGTATTTCAACACAGCAACCTTTTTATTTGTGGAAAACTAAGAAAAAGTTACTGAGGACTACAAAAAAAGCATACTTTGGTCAATTTAGTCAAATTAAGTTTGTTCTAGGGCCATCTTAATCGAATTCTTTGTATCATGTATGCCTTTATTTTCTTGCCTTTTCTTATTTTTTGGCAGTTTCATTCCCTTACTTCTTGTCAGCCCGTATCTTTTTCGTTGTGTATGTGTGTGTTTTCTTCTGTGATTGTAGGTTCTTTAATTTGTTTGTCGACTGAGCAAAGGGCATAATCAAGTGTTTGTACATCAGCCGTCATCTGGGTCATCAGACCTAGTATGAGATTGGATGTGCAATTGGGCCACCTAGCATTTAACTTTAGAACTGCAGGGGAGTTTTTGTTTGAAAAATATGACCTACATTGTATTTCAAATGCTTGGGGTATGCAGAAAGGCCAGCTGAAGGATGTGTTGTGAGAAAAATAAGCCTATTCTATTATTTCTATATAATGATCGGAGTCAGCGGACAACTCCTACTAGTCCTAGCTACTACTAAACAAGAGTTCCACGATCTCATACCTTCGCCAAATGATGTTAACTCTTGCGGGTGACGAATTATACAATTTTAATCATTGATTTTGTAAATAAGAGCCTCATATGCATGGATTATACAAGTTGATCATATTCTCAACCCAATGACAGCCTTATCATAACAAAAATAGCACTTCCTCATAAATTATGCAAATGAGGTCATGATTTGAATAAATTATGTTTATTGATGTTCACCTTCACTTAACTTCCAAATGTGGCAAGTATGAAATTCGGGGTGCAGCAGTTACAACTATGGAATTATAAGAATTTGTCATTATTTATGCAAATTAGGTCCTCATTTACATAATCTATATCCTCAGATGTTTTTCTCGTTCTCAAGTAGATGTCACAAGTGTTTCATAGTTCTATTATCGAACAAAGCAGATTTATAGAATTTCCTCATTAATTATGCAAATTAGCTCATGATTTGCATAATTGCCATCTGATTATGTCAAGCATCACTTTAACTACCTACATACCAAAAATCACGACAATACGTCAACCGGTTCTTGAGTTATCGTCCTTCAAATTTTTTTCAACAAATGCTCCTGCAGTTCCAGAACAAGGCGCTAGGGGACCTAAACTCATGTCACTTCTTCCCTACCCCAAGAGCTATCTACCAACCGAAATTCGTGACCCTAGCATGTCCAGAACATGAGATATCAAAACCGGAAGTTCAGCTGCAGTACCTAGGAAAGCCACCAGGGGGCCCAAAATCTAATCATTTCTAGGTCTCATAAAGACCTACCCACCTACTAAGTTTCATTCCAATCCATCCACTGCTTCTCGAGTTATCTTGCTAAACCACACACAAACACACACACAGACAAACGCTACTGAAAACATAACCTTCTTGGCGAAGGTAAAAAGTAAATGCTTTGGCCACCAGACTGTATCCCTTGTGTCTTTAATACTATCAGTCAGTCAGGATTTGGAAAGAAAAAGTAAAGTGTTCAGGAGACACAAAAAATACAAGAGAAGCAATCAGTTATACACATTTATATCTCTGGCGGAGACTTTATTTGACCAAAAAATGGGGGAGGGGGGCAACCATTTGTTGCACTCTCCCCGCCCACCCGCACTGTACATGAATCTGTACAATCAACAGCATTTTGTTGTACATCCAAGTTATTTCTCTGTCCCAGGAAGAAACTATAGAGTGAGACATTTCTCTAGAACAGGTGACACTAATTTAAACATCGTCATGACATATAGTAGAACATCCACGCCACGCTATTGTCTACGGTAATAAAAGGAAAAAACCATGTACTGGCAGCCATTTTGAATTGAAATCCGGAGGCGGCCATTCTGAATGAATTTCGCACACCCCCATTCTGTACCATGTGAACAGTTGAACAATTTTTGCAGCCATCCTAGAAAGAGTTGTAATTTTTTTCAAAAAATTCCAGGCACCACAGGCTTAAGTAGAAATACCACCAGCAAATGGCTCCAACCTAAGAGGTGTCGCCAAAATGTTAAAGGATGATGGGAGATGCACTGAAGCAAGTCAAACTTTGAGCATTTTTCCACTGAAAACAACACAGTTGGGAACAAGAACCTTAAAGTGTACTTAGAGTACAATACATTATCCCTTTTGAATGTCAAGCTTCTTGGAATTTCAATCATAATCTTTTGAATATGTTACACAGAAATCTAAATGCTTTTATGCCATACAGAACCAAGCAAAGTTGAGCATTACTAGTAATTCCTTTCTTGTATGACACCATTTTGCTGTCAATACATTTCTTGTATACATTTCAGTGGAAAATTGTTCAATAGCTACTAGATGTTCTGATCTAAAAAAGCATAATGGTCCTGTCTTGTTCTTTCTTGATGTTATACCTCTCACATTTGTCAAATGGCTGTACCGTTTGCTATACACGTAGCTGCACACATAATTTTAACTCCGTACATGCAAGTTTTGGATTTTTCCCTCACAACACAATCCACATTTACCATTATACAACCACCAGACCCACCAGCATTTAACCTTCATTAAAATCCTTACATCACCTTCATGTGTTGCTGAGTCACAATTCTCAAATAATGGCTACGCCCCTTTGGCATCGCCAAAAAAAATCATCAACTTTCCAATACATAAGAATTGTATACAAATAAAAATACACAAATACACAGGCAAGGCGCCGGCAATTTTTTTACACGGGCAGCTTATACAAATATTTCTTGCTCACTATCAGTATCAGAAATGCACAAGAGGATTCAATGTTTTGCTCTAACAAAATCCAGTCTAGTTCCGGTGTGTATTTATCGACATAAAAGCTGTATTATTATAGTGATGTTCACAGTATCTCTGTCTTTGTCATGTCGGTAATCTCTCAATTGTTCAGGATTGCAAAAGGATCGTGAGTAGTGGCAAACTGTTTACGTTCTTCCAATACACAAAGGCACACAACAAACGTACTTTCAAAAGTGGCTACACTGATGTGGCTACGTACCGTTGGGGCTATACTCGGAGACTTTTGTGTTGTGCATAGAGTGGACTAGTGCTGTGTACCTAAACCCAGGTCGGAATTTAAGTCCAGAGGTTTAGGTTCAGTTCTAGACTCGTAAAGTCCGGACCTAAACCCATAGCATATACAAAATTGCATGTTGGCAACCTTGCAATGTTGTCTGGGTGAAACTTTCGCCACATAACAGGGAGGCCGTCACTTGACAATGCCCAATGGCAATGTTTTCTTCATTTTGCAGCACAGATTTTGCAATCTATGGAATTCTGGAATCGGTTCTTGACTTTTTAGGGTTTTTTTTGGACTTGAACCTGAACATTTTTACAAGTCGGGAACCGGTCCAGCGAACCGGTACACAGCACTAGTGTGAACACAACAACGTTTGGGACGTGCATTTTGTGAAAGCACTGCCTATTGAAGAGCCAGAATCCAGATTGTACAAAAGTTTGGCTAGAAAAATAGAGCTCTAACTTCCTTGTGGCGAACATGGTGGTGGGAGATATGCCACAAGATTCTTGTTTTTATTCCTTTCGTTCTTTTTTACTATGTTTTTTTGGCAACGCGACAAGGAATGCTTTAAAAGCCTCGGATCGGGCAGTACTTTCACACAGCTTACGCTTTTCTCGTTTCAGTTTTAATGCCACAAATCTTAGACCACTTCCACACTAAAAATACTCCAGGAAGTTTACGAGAGTTTTAGTTCTAGTAGTTTGTGTGTGAAAGGTATGCTGTAACATCATGTATGGCGGAAGGGGGGGGGCATTCGTGACGTCCCCGTAATATTCAGAATAGTTTGCTATAGCAAGACGTGGTGGATTTGTCAATGTAAACCACAAGAGGGGTAGGGGTAGGTGGTTTGGTCCCCTTTGACTCCAAAAGATGTTGGGGGAGGGGGGCATTTTTCTGGCTCATAATGCTGAGATATTTAAAACAAATCCACTGCACAAGCGACAATGTACAGTATCTTCCTGTTTGTTGTTGTAAATAACCACTAAGTACTGTCAACAACCGACTACTCCACACTTAGATTACATTATTCTTTCCTCCTTTAACTAAACACTATCATTTTTTCCCAACAAATTATGCTGGGATAACAAGTCAATTACATTATACAGTATAAGCTGTTTCACAGTTCAAACCGTGCATGCATTTAACATGTCAAAATTGGAGACCCTTGAAACATAAACAAAACATGAAATAAAGACTAAACTTCAACTACCATCACTACAATGATTTGGGACTTAACCCGAATTGGCAGTTACAGTTTAGTCTTTATTTCATAATAACTTGTACCAACACAGATGAACTTTCATGCTATGTACTGACATGTTATCGGCATGGTTTAGACAAGAATTGTTTAAGAGGGGCCTTCAAATTTCACGTTACACATGCGCAGTCTAAAACATGAAACGGCTTATTTCAAAAATGAGAAATTGTCACCATTGCACATTGTCGTTATAACAACTACAATGCACATCCCTTTCAAACGAACTGTACAATCATACATATTATAATAACAACAGTAATAATATTGATGATAATAATAATACATTCACTGAAATTCTTAAGAAAAATTCCATAATACTTGTCAGAAGGACACTGGCACAAAAATGTCAATTATTATAACTTTTTTATCAGCCTGGGTGCTTGGAGAGTTATTTCAATCTCAGCAGCAAAATGTAACAATTCTGATAGATATGTACCTAATATATGCACCTGTCAGTGAACATCCAGAGGGGGCATTCAGGCTTCCGGGGAGGGGGTTGGGTGAGCACATTGACAGCATCATTACTTTATTTTATGAGGCTCTAAACTGAACCAAATGTCAAGTAACTCTTGTGAATATGTCTAATTGATCTGTATGTGCAAATTATGCCAGTATTTCAAGCATTGATCAAATTGCTATTTGAAAAATGGAGAATTTGAAGCTAATTTTTATGTCAACTTTTGCTCAATTTGGATTTTCACTGACAAGTGCATAGATGTAACACTAAATAGTAGAGTGGACAACATACAGCTCGAAACTCAGATATCATTAAATCTTGTGTAACTACAGTATGTACTGACTTAAACATTAACAAGATCACTACTGAACAATTGTATACAGTCATGATGCTGTGTTGTTGTGTAGCAGCATTTTAACGAACTAGCCTTCTCGTTAAGTTGTAATTAATGCACTTTCAGTGATTGTGCTAGGGAGTCAGCCTGTCCACAATATATTCCACTACAAGAGCACGTCAGCAGAACGTACTGCACCTGCGTGAAACCCGTAATGTATTGTACATTAGCACTTCGGCAGAACGTCTCATATCAGGTTGTATTCGCTCATATAAGGTTAGCAATTCGACAGTAGTTTCCAAATGTTATGCCGGAAAAAATATCTTCTGCAACAGTCAAAATTCCGATGCAACGTTGACCAAAAATCCAACGAAAAACGCGAAAATGCAGGGTTCTGCGCACGCGCAGTACGTTCTGCCAACGTGCTCACTACATGAACATTATAGCTATGCCCTGGTTTTCTTTGCAAAAGTGATATACTTTCAATAACCGGTAGAATGTTTGCTTGCTTGTATTTCAGAATACAAAAACATTACATGATTGCTACAAAAAAGCAGAATTTTATTGTAACACTTAGAGGAAGAATGGCTTGGGTTTTGATATTTTGACCCCATGTTCAGTTTTCTAGGAACATGGGGAGGGGGGCACAATTTTTGTCTTGATATGTCATGTCTCAAACTTCGAATTTTTTTTCAAAATTACTTCTGGATGGCTTCAAGTCAGCCTCATAAAATTGTTGGTCATTTTTGCTCATCACATTTACAAAGAAGCCTTGCAAAGGGACAAGCGGTGAAGAAGAAGAAACTTGGGCAAAAACCGGTATTGAAACTACTCAACAGTCCAAAAGATATTTGAGAAACGTATCTATATTAAAATGTGCAATAGAAATATTTGGCTAATTCTGTTCAACTTTTACACAATTTCTGCAGCTTGACACAAAAAATTTTGGCAGAAATTTGAGGTAACAAAAAATTTACTCAAAAAACTTGAATCAGAATGGAGTAGACTGTACCACTATGGTTGTAGGTAAGATGTTTTTATTTCCTCTACACAGGTGGTCCCTCCCATCCCTTTTTTACACACAGAATGGACTTGTCCATTAGAATTAAATATTTTAGTGCACTTGTGGAAACTTTTCTCCGGAAAAATGGCTCAGTGTCTTTCACACATGATATGCATTTTGTTCAAGCATTATGAAACAATCCCCTTTCCAAAAACACATCACACTAGTAGGAATGAAACAATGCCGTAAATTTTACCGTCAAATGGGGAGGGGGGGCAAAAAGGGGGGCCAAACTTGGGGAACGACAAAAAAAACGTTGATATCGTTGGAACAATCCATTTCTTATTGACAAATTAAAATGGACTGGTCCCATTTTTTTGTACAGAACAAGGGCAGGACCGTTTCATTGGTAAGACGGGGGTGGAAGGGTACACGCGGAGGGACTGTAAGAGCTACTGGACACAACAGTTGTTTTTCCCCCCATTCCTTGTGATGATCTTCAGCCTGGACTTTGGCCTGTACTTCTCCAGGAAATTCAGTTGCTTGGCGTTGATAGCTCCACGACGCTTACTGAAGAAGAAAAGAAAAGCATTCTTAATAAAAGGACGTTACGTAACATTTTTGCACCAAAAATTTAAAGTGTTACTAGAAGGGTAACTGTAACATTTGGAAAGCAAATGCATGATATTTACCTTCACACATGGTCTGCTCTGTTAATTCTTACTCAAACACATTCATATACATGTATATATGGTCAGACAGTCTAAATCCCTCCTGCTGTAAAATTGCAACATCATGAAACCCAACACTAGTTGCCATGGAGACAGACGTCCAGGTTCAGGTCATTGACCCTATTGGTTTGGAGAAGAAGAGGAAAAGTAGCAAAAACAACTTTTCAACATATTTGTGTAAAAAGTGCCTTCTACTCACTCTCTGATGTACTGCACTGCATCCTCAAATTTCATTCCACTCTCCATCAAGGCCAGAGCAACGAGAACAGGCGCTCTGAAAATCAACAAAACATCAGGATCATTGTAAACTACAATCAAAGCACATGTACAATTGCTCACAAATATTTTCCCAGTCTAACTACGCAAGGAATGGCTTGTACATATCCAAAATGTGCAACGAAATCCAGTACCATGCCTGGGATATAACTGCTTTTTCAGATACGCAGAGACTATCCAGAACTGTGCCAGGGGCAAATCTACATTCTCAGATACACAGTCTATCCAGAACCATGCCTGATCCTAACCCTGACCTATTCGGGCAAAGAACGAGATAGGCACTGTTCTGGATACAATAGCTCGTTTTATACCAGACTAGGGCAAGCTACTATGTCATTGATTCTCTCTCAATAGCCTCTACTGATCAGTACAGACAATAGTTAGTCCTAGATTGTAACAATGATTATTTACAGTAAAGTGCAAAATGACCAACACCCACCTGCCGAGCCCGGCCACACAGTGAATGGCGATGCAGCTCCCCGGGTCTTCACGGAAGCGAGTCTTCAGCAGGTTGAACCACTCCTCCACAATGTTGTTAGGTGGGGGGGCTCCATCGTCAAAAGGCCAATCCTAAACAAAAAGCCTTAGAATTAGAAATTTGACACCTTATTACAATAGGTCCCATTCACATTCAAGAGCATTTTCTATCCACGGCTGGGAAACCACCTGTAATTGCAGGTAAAATTGGAGCTGTGCAGGTATTTCTGATGTCTACCTGAATCTAACCTATACCAGTCCACTTGGGTACATGTCAGCATGAAAGTTTATCTGAGTTGGTAAATTACATTATGAAAAACTTAAACTGTTCTCCAACTCATGTCGGTGTATGTTGATTTTCATTTGACTGCACTGTTTCCAACTTTTAAGTATGAAAGAAACAATGACAGCAGTTTATGAACAGTTTTAGTATCATCTTAAATTCTGAGTGTTGCAGGTAAAATTTGTCTGGTGTAGGTAATTTTCAATGTTACCTGACCCAGTGTTGGTATGCAGATGTTGAGCCCTGAAATGGTATGCTTCAATTACAAATTACAAACCTAAAATAGACTGAAATTTTCACATGCAGACAGCTTTGTTTATGTACGAACTAATAGGAAGTCACACTGGGAACACACACAAGGGAGACGTTGATACAAACACAGGACAGGGTCTTTACTCAGTAAATAGCATGACTTGTTTACTTACACAAACACGGATGCCTTCCAACACAGTAAACGCTACGACTAGTTTACTCACACAAACATGGATGCCTTCCTTCTCCAGTGGCTCAATGCTGTAGGTGGGCTCACATACTCTCACCAACTCCTTCACATTGTGACTCTTCAGTTCCTGAACAAACAAAAACAATAACAAATACAAATTAGAACTAGAAAGGTAACATTTGCAAAGCAAATGCATAATGTCTACCTTTGCATATGGTCTGCTCTGTTCTTACTCAAACACATTCAGATATATGGTCAAACAGGAGTCTAAACCCCTCCTGCTTTAAAATTGCAACATGATGTAACCCAACACTAGTTGCCATGGTGACAGACATCGGCCTCAGGTCGTTGACCTTATTTGTTTGGAGAAGATGAGGAAGAAACTGAGCAAAAACAATTGTGTTTTCCTTCGGTAAACATAACAAGCTTAGTGCTAATCTAGATACAACTATCCCCCTTAAGATTTTAACACTAAATCAACACCCCTGAACCTTTGAATGGCATAGCCCAATGATAATACAATTGTATGGAAGACACCACTGACCTCGATGTATTTGGGGAGGTTGGAGTTGGAGGGGCGGTCCATGATGAGGAACCTCATGCCCTTATGCTCCAGCACTACGGGCGGAGCCGGTCTGTTCAGTCTCGCCATGGCAACAGACTTTCTCTCAACCAATCACAGCACACGGTTCACGCTGACCGGAACTTTCCTTCCCACACAAGGGGGGAGAGACGGGTTGGCGGCGCCCTTATTTGGACGTTTCGAAGAATTCTAAAAGTAAGGCAGGGGTTTTTTCTACCCGTAGTCGAAATTACCCCATTCCAAAGTGCTTCTGGGTAAGTCGGGGAACGGATGGCCACAAATGGCAACAAGGTGCGGTAACAGAGGGGGAGGGGGGCGTTGGTTATTGCTGGCTAGCGCTGGAGGCACAGTTCGGTGGAGAGTTCACGCGAGGTGGAGGTCGTGTTGTGCCCTGCAGTACTCTGCACTATCCTTCACAAACGCCATAAATGTCACTCCAAGGCAGCCAAAGAACTGGGGAGGGAAAAAGAGATTGCAATATTAGTACGATAATGACAAAACTTTTTTGCATATTCACGCCCAACATTAACGGTTAGTGTGGAAGCCATGTGGTGAAAGTACACATGATACAGTAAAGGTTACTCCAAGGCAGCCAAAGAATTGGAGAGTGGCAGTGGTAAAAAATACTTTTCTTTCAGTGTTCAGCAAGATTGCAGAATGTCAAAATTTAATTGTTCTACAATTCTGAAATGCTTATTCAAAATGCAGGCAAAAAGTCAGGATCTAAACCCCATTGGCATACACAAAATTGCATGAGGGCCAACAGTTTACATGCAACTTGAAAAATACATGCAAAAATACCAGTAGTATACTGGCATTCATTTCTTACAAAGTCTTCTAGTTCTAAATCTAGTTCTAAAAAGAGAGTGCCAACGTAATGTCACAAGTCAACTACATATGTAAACAGCCAGACTAATCGGTCTTGACTTTGGGGAGTTAATCCCCAAAACATGGGATCATCTCCAAAGTTCAAACTTTATACCTGGCCATAAAAAAAACCTTTTCAGAACAGAAACATCCTCTAGAACAACCCCTGCATCGAAATAACAGCACAAAACATTTTTATAGAACGCAGTGCACCACATTTCACTTTTCACGAGGCTCTGCCAAGTTTATTAACAAACCTATCATGTTTCATTACAAACATGCATACGTGAAAGTTTAATGCTGTCTTGCTTCAGACAGCCACACACTCATGTAAAATTAAGCTGAATCAATATTTCTCTTTCATAAGGGGCATGTTAATTGATCTACCTTTCACTGTATGTCATACTGTTTCTTGTAATGGAGGCAACTGTGTCTTCATCTGTATATACTATAACCAACTTTAAAATATATCTGCCTTCAGTGTAACACACCAGCTTTGCAGGTATTTTACAGTTTACACTAAACAACCTGGCACACCTAACCTTGGCACATATAACTGTGCAACCTACATATACAATGGTTGTAGGAAAATAACAACAAATTTCCTATATATAGGTAACACCTCAATCCCAGGTTGATAAGTCTAGTACTTGAAGGTACTAGTAATAATACAATACTAAAAGTAATACTACATGTACAAGGCAACAACAGTTATTTTAAACACTTCTCTTCCTTATTAATACACTAGTGCGAAATTTCATAACAACTAGCAATAGAAGTGAATAATTACCTTTCAGAGCAAGCTAAGCTATGTGTGCGACATTTGAATAACCAACAGACGCTACAACTAGTGCCTTTACACCAACATGCTAGCAACTACGGGGTCACGATGGCCCAGTTTAGATAAACAAAGCAACACAGGCCTGGCTAAAAATACCCGTGTGCACATACCAACACAAACCTGTATATTTACACTTCCCAAAACTTCCTTCTTCTTCCTTCTATATGGCTACACAGTTGCCAATACAAATGGTAGATTGCTACATTCAAATAAACTATGTGAAAAACAAAGAAATTTTGGCTAAAATTAAAAATACCCCTGTGCAAATGCCAACACAAACCTGTATATTTACCTAATGTACTCTTCTAAACTTCCTTCTTGTTTCCTCTATAAGTATAAGGCTACACAGTTGCCAATTCAAATGGTAGATTGCTACATTCGAACTATGTGAAAAACATCTATCTATGTGCATAATCAGAGGGATTAAAACTTCAGGTATGTTTGGCATTGCATGCCTCTCATATTGCAAGGGGTTGTGACATTATATATCATCCAATTTCCTGTAAGCATGATGGTTTATGGTTTCAAATACTCAACCTTTTCAAGGGTTATAAGCAGAATTCAAGCTTTTAGAAGTAGACTCAAGACAACCTAAGCTAATAATAATATTATAAATAAAGAAAACTGTTATTTTCTTTTTGAAGTTTTCGCAGCGATCTGTCCACCATGAATTCATGATACCACAAATATCTCTTCCTTGTATGACTTCTGTACTACAGAATTGTTTCAAGTTCAACCTGAAATTTAAAATTTAAACAACACAAAAGTTTGAAGATTTGCAGTAAAGAGTATAATGCCCTCAAAAGGGGGGGAGGGGGGCGCTCTTCAATCAAAAATATGTCTGGCACAACTAGAAGGGCAACAGTTCAGTTGTTGCCCCGTCTGAAATGTTTTCAGCAAAAAGGGTCAGCGGAACTGGGCATGCGACCTCTAGAGCAAGATTTAGAGGTCAAACTGCACCATAAAACTGGCACTAAGCCCAGCGGACCAACCAGAACATGTCAGTAATCCGGGATTAACACATATTCATCTGCCAGTCAGGATTAAGTCGAAGATTAGATCAGCTTGCCAAGAAGATTGTGGAAACTGTTGACAGCCTGTTATGGACTTCTCATACATACATGTAGCTGCTCTTCTGCTATATATAACTGCCAAAGGCAAACAGTACAAACTTGCTATAGCAGCATATTCAAACACAGACGGTTGTTGTTTATTGACAAGATGGCTAATTCAAACTTCATGTACATCAATTATAGCCTCAGTTGTCCTTGATAAAGGTTAGACATCTACTATGATCTGGGTAGAACATTAAGTAATGCAAAATGAATCAAGCAACTGCATAAATTCTCTAAAGAGTACAAAAAATATAAAAAACAAAATATATCAAGCAAAAATAAGCTCTCTGAACAGTCTGACGTTTCGGATAGCATTTGCTCATGATCATAATCTGTCATCATTTTGTCACTGATGGAAGATAATAAGCCAATGCTATCTAGAACGTCTGACGCATCAGAGAATTTATCGCTGCTTGACTTTTCAAAATGTGTACTGTATATCATGTCCTTTGCACCTGTTACCTTCCAAGAGAACTCACAAATGTCTATCAAATATTCATGGCAATACTCTTAACATATGTTAGTCTAACTAACAAATGAAACTGTGTTGTGTACTGTGGACATCTTAGAATCACAGCTGTTTGTCTATTTTTTTTCATAAATAGGTATATTGTGATAAAGAAATCGAAATATTGATTGTGAAAATTAACTTTCAACATAACACCCACACATATTTTCAATCATAACAAGGTGCAAAAAACATACAAATCTGACTAAAAAAAAGTACTCTCAGTCTCTTGTCACCATAAACTTGTGACTGTACATACAAATATACTCATACACAGGGATCTCCCCAGAAATTTAGGACAGAATGGAGGAGGGTGCGAAATATCGGTAAATTTGACCAAAGAACCCTGGAAAAGGGTGTAAAAACACTAGTTTTGAAAATTAACAGGGTGGAGCTGAGATAAGGACTGGGTGGAGGAGCTCCACTGCTCCATTGTTTAGGGAGGTCCCTGATACATGACAAGCTTTTCAAATAAAACAAAACCATTTCTCAGAAATTCTCCACTAATGAAAGATTGATAACTTCAAAATCAATATTTCTATGACTGCAGTCTGACTCTGTGTCACCAAAAACAGCCAAATAAGTCTGTGGGCTAAATTGATGTGTCTGACTCAGCCCTCGGAGTTAACTACGGTTACCATATTAGGCAAGCGCTGAAGGGGGGTTGATAAGCTGAGGCCTAGGAAAAAAAATATTGTGTTTCCTGTTTCAGTCCTGAAAAAATTAGGGTTGGTAGGTAGGAATTATCCTTTTGTTTTCTTATTTTTTTATTAGACTTTGGCAATCTCTAGTGATTACAGTAAAACTTGCATGAGGACACTTCTATTTTCAGTGCCAATGTTAGAAAACCGATTGTACAATGTTTCATCTCTCATGTGTCAGATCATGGAGGTAGAAAAGGTCAATTAGCTTGAAAAATTCATGTCACTTGCAGGATCCACATAAAGAAGGCTAGGGTCTGCAGTTTTTTCAAGGGTTGGTCGGGAAACAGGAAACACAACATTTATTTCCCTAGGCCTAAGCTGAGGGTACATTTCCCTAGAGTCTAGATGACTCAGTAGCAAAATGTCTACAGTCATAAACTCACCTCACTCATGCCTGGTACATGGTTATCTATACCAGTACAGGCATACATTATATCATTAATATCCTTAAACATCAGTTTTTAAGGTTAGAATAATTTGTTTCAAGAATTTTACAATTCAAGAAAAAAAAGTTGAGCTAGTACTTACGCGTAGTAATAGTTTGGTTTCTTGAACCATCCAATTTTGATTTTGATCAGAGGAAAATTATTATTCTGTAGTGGACATGAAATAAAAAGCTTTTGGAATTTCATTCTGGACTGATTTAAAAAAAAAAACACTTGAGAAAACCTCTTATGACTAATGGCCACTCCTTCCGTCCTTAAGGAGGTGGTTTAAGAAGCTGTGACAAGATTTATCAACTTGGGGTACTAAGAAAGAACCAGGAAGCTGTCTATTTGTCTTAGCCGGATATACCTGTCCAATATTGTTATACCTGTTTAACGGCCACTGGTTTTATATGGCTAGGAGTGGTCTGGGGTCTAAAATTTCACATCTTTAAAAGTATTGGGATTTTGTGTGGATTTTTAGATAACTAGACTCTAGAGGAAAGTTATTTTGATAGTAAGAGATTGGTTTTGGTATGGTATGTAGGTTTAGTGTTTGTAGTTTTCAGGTCAGTGCTAGTAGTAGTAGGTAATTTGATCTCTTGGTTGGACTCTTGGAGCTTAACTTAGTAAAGTCTTTTCAATCAAAGTACAGAGTAACTTTGTTATTCTGTGACTCACATGTTTTGTCTATTTGTGTGTGGTGGACAATACATGTAGCTAGTTCCGTTTTTTTCTTTGGGCAAAGCAAAAAAATTTCATGTTTTTGTTTTACATATAAATCTACATCATGTGTATGTTTTTATATCTACTTGTTCATTGTTGTGAAAAAGGTATGTAAATATAGTGATGTTGTGGAAAAGTTATTTATTTTGAGCTATGAAAGAAATATGTCTTCTACTGTTTACTTCATAATAAAGTTTCTTTATGGGGATTTAGAAAAATAAGATGCACAGAACCAAAACACTTGTTTCAACTGTTGAATTGCAGTGG